CGGAAGGCTGGAAGCTCTTCCCCCTTGCCCGCGCATGTTGCTATATCGCGGCGTGGGGAGACGCGCGTTCCACGCGCGGAGCTCGACAAGCAGGTAGCGCCGCTCGCCGCGGGGCAATGCTGCGATCTGCTCGATGCCGGCGCAGCGGGGCGGCGGCCGACAGCGACGTGCATGGCCCGCCTTGACATTGGTTTGATCGCGAAAAAGGTGGTCGAAGGTCATTTGGCCATAAAGCCTTGAAAATCCCCTATGACCGTGTCCGTCCCACATGACCGTGAAAATCCAACACTCTTGTTTGCCGCAGATACTCGCTGTGCCTCTGTCTGTCGCTTCGAGTCAGAGAAAAAGCTAGAGCGTGCTTGTGTGCGTGAGCGTGTTAAATTATGTTCTGTGTATGTACGGGCGCGCATGTTTGTGTCTGTGTGTTTTGTGTTGGCACGTCTACACCAACGCATACTCATAAAACAAGAACCCTGGGATTCAAAGGGCCTTAAAAAGCAAGGCCTTTATAGAAAGGGCCTTTGTGTATATGGCCGTTGGAATGGGGGTTTGGTGGCGGTTCACGAGGTTTCAACATAGCATTGGTGTTGGTGTTTGTCATGGGGACTTTGTATCTTGAAGTCTGTCGCCGTCCAAAGGGCTTTCTAGCGAGAGAAAGAGAGAGAGAGAGAGAGAGAGAGAGAGAGAGAGAGAGAGAGAGAGAGAGAGAGAGAGAGACAGAGAGAGAGAGAGAGAGAGAGAGCGAGATAGGCATCAATTTAACTTAGTTTCATATTGAAGGATTGGCTAGCTCTGAGCGTGTTTAAATAACTTACTCTTCTTGACTGCGAGCAAAGAAACTAGCTTGCCATCCCATTTACAAGGAATTGCAGCCTTTTTCAGCAGTAAGAACGTTAAGGCAACGCAATTGGATATATGTATGATGCGGGGTTTGCTTGAATTCGCTTCCATCCTGATTTGTTTTTCCGCCCCACAGTGCAAGTTTTTTTGATTAATTTATACAAAGCCCGTCGACGCGATTCGAGCGACTGCAACAAGCAAACCCACCCGCGCAGGGGCCTGCCTGCCTCCTGGGGTCAGTTGCACCGGCGCTTGCAAATTTCACTGCTTTGGGAAGGGTCAACGGTTCCTCCACTGCGCGTTGCTTGCACGCAATGCGGTTTTTTCCATGTTTGCAATTGCATCGCCATTTGCAAGGGTGTCCGTCTTTCAGCTGTGTGCCAGCCTGGGGGATCAAAATGGACAAATGATAACGGTAGTAAGCATATACCTTGCAGTAAACAGACGTGAATGCGCGTGAACCATGTTTGGCAAACAACGCAAGGTCCAGCTCCTAGTTTCAACCAGAACCTAACCAGCAGGGAGCCAAGCTACAAGCTCACGCCTAAAAACGGCCGTTCACGCCCTAAACAGGCCTTTCACGGTAGTTTCACGCTTGTTTCACGGTGCTTCATGCTTCCCAGTCCCGAAGGTCGCTGTGGACCGAAGATGTCCGCTGTGTCACATGAGTGGTTGTCTAGACTTGCGCTGCTGGCATGCTTCAACTCACAAGAAGCATGTGCATTAAAATGTGTGAGCCGACAAAAATATGTGACGTAAGCAATTCGCAACAAGAATCGGGCTTGATAAGTGTGCCGCTTTGTGTACAGGCAGTGACCGCAAGTTGAAGGGTCACCAACTGACACACTGACTGCGTGGGCCTTAGCATGATACATGATGAACACATGCCACATTCAGCTGTTCTCCTGGCCACAGTCATTTGGGTTGCGAGTATGCCTGTTTGCTGATTTCAGTAAGTCTTGGGAAGTCAAACGCTGCAAGGAACCTCACAGTCCAATCCACGGACTAAGCTACTACAGTTGTCACGACACGTGTGAAGTGGCGGGCAAGTACGTTTGACTCACGTCACCGGCAGTACCAACAAAGTACTATAGTACTAGACTGGTTTTAACTGAATTTGAACGCGAGGTTTGCCATGACCGACCTTTCTAGACGCAAAGGGCTGGAATATGTAGTTGTTTAACGTTTGTTTTCTAGGTTGTTTGCTGGGCCGTTCCTATATATACATATATATATATATACGAATTTGTCCAACGTGCTGGCCTGAGGTTGAACCAATATCCTGCCTGTTTATGCTAGCCTTCTTTCACATAGTTGATGCTGTTCCAGAAATTCCGACATCGTGCTAATTGTGACTGTCACCCTGGTCTAAGTACAGAAGCTAACATGTGAAGCTTCGCAAATCTTGCAATGACAAGAACACAACGCTTTGGGTGAAACAAGGCTCACTCAAACATCAAGAGGGCGAGAGACAGAATGATGGGAAAAAGTGTTTCTCAAGACCTTCTGCTACAACTTCCATTCCAAAGTAATACTTACAAAACTGAAAATTTGCCAACAAAGGCCTTCACAGGCCTAGAGAGGCCGAGCCGGAAAGGCCTTTGTTTTAAGGGCCTCTGACCCCCAGGGAAAACCGTTTTTGAAGTGCTTCTCACGGATT